AAAATAAAGGATAAACCTCTCGGCGTTGATCACTTCCTGAACAATGCGCCATGCATTCGACTTCATTAAGCATGGTTTGGAGGTGACTGACTGCACAGTTGGCTTTTACAGCGGCTCGCGGTGGCCTACCGATTTATCGAGTCAGTGCTGCTATCCTCCCAGACACGTCTAGTACCAATTTGCCGACCCTGGAAGGATGGAAAGCTTGGTGGGCCATGGGAGCGGGGGTCGACTCCACGTGTGTTGTAGAGTGCCTCTGAACACTGCGCCACACGCGCCATGAATCTAATATAGATTGGTGAAAAACACTCAAATATTTTAGTATATAGCGAATAAAGGGATAAAGGGTTCGGCGTTGATCAATCCTTTAGAGGTACCGAATACATTCGACTACGGTAAGCATCGTAAAAGCGATTGAAAGTAGCTTTTGACTATACAGTGACTTGCAGAGAGTAGAATATCATTATAACAAGTCAATCTTTTTATTTTCCCAGACAAGACGTATAGGTAAGATTTGCCTCACCTCGGAGGGCTGTATGGCTTACTTAGAACAGAGTACGACGTCGAACCAGGAACCAATCGTATGTTGCAAAGCATCTTTAAGCATTGTGCTATACGCAACCTTCTGGAAACATACCAACAGCACATGCACATCATATACAGATATATCAGTTCCTACTCTTTGTAAGGATTTAAGTTACGCTTTCTTTTTCATAATATTCACAGCTACATTCGAATTACCTCAATAGAAACTAGCCATAACGATTACCCTCAATAAAAGAACGCCTCTGTGAAGGGCAAAGTTTGAGGATGAGAGAAGCACCTAAGATCTAAATAAACCCTAATGGTGATCATCTGCACTTACAGCACCCATATTCACATATCCAAGTATCAGTTAACACACTCAGGACGATAAGAATTGATTTGAATACGCATCACTACAGTAATGATTCGAACTTTCGAGTTCCGACAAGCATATCTCCAGTCTATAATGGATCTACTATTTAAGTCTAAGGTCATTACCAACGAGGTGCTAGTCCTCTACATCGTTACTAAGGTTGCGTTTCTTGGAGCTTATAGAACTTACTTCTTCCTTTTCTTCACGGAAGGTCATATTTCGACAAACGAAGCGACAGAACAAGGCAGATTTCGTCCAGTGGAACCTGGTGATGTCCTCTAATGCATCGTTAACGTTTAGGGTTGCCGGCTTTGCGTTGATGTGTTCAAATGATCTTATTTCTCTTGTAAATGTTTGGGAATTTTAAACAGTTTTAGAAATCAAACTAACATTTTGGAATTGGAAGAACATTGGATGTAATATTAGAATAGAATATCAAAGCCTTCTTCATGGGATTACCAAGTTCTGTGCTCCATTTTAAGAAGACGATGTCCATGAAGAACCTCTTAGTTCCCAAAGCCTAATTCACTCTCAGCTTAAAAACTAGCTGCGAGTTGAGTGTTTATGGGTGAACGGAAATATGATCTTGTTATCGAAAACGCTTTGACAAGATGATGTTGCTTATGACCTGTTTAACATAGATGAAGAAGGAAATCCGGAGTTTTCATCAATGTAAACGACTGAGAGCGCGTGTGGAGCAGTGGTCAGAGCCGCCCTGCAACACAACATGCAGAATCGACCACCGCGCCCATGGCGCACCAAGTCTTCCATTCCTCCGGGGTCGGCAAATTGGTACCAGATTTGTCTTGGAGGATAGTAGCACTGGCTCGATGCATCGGTGGGCCATCGCGAGTCATTGTAAAGGCCAGATATGCATCCAATCACCTCCAAACGATGCTTAATGAAATCGAATGCATGACACATCCTTTAGGGATTGATCAACGCCGAGAGTTTTATCCTTTATCCTTTAAACGATCGAAGATCAGAGACTTGGTAGCATATGCGAAGTTGATGAACATCACATATACCGACATCGTGGATCATAACGACAACCATGGGAAATGATCAGAACTGGATAAAAGTGCTCGGAGAGCAGATTTCATGAGATGACAAACACGTAACGAGAACGACATCTTCTAAATTATCGGACTTTCTTATAAAGGCCGTTGAAGAAAATATGGTACTCTTCATGTCATTTGAGCCGGAGACAAGTATTGTAGAGACCTTTAACTCTAGTCATTCTATTGCATCTAACACACAGAGGATTGACGCGTATTTCATAGGAAAAAAAAGCCGAGTATTAAGACAGTAATTTTAATAGCATTTATGCTCGGATTTCTAGAAATGATGTATAACTTTCCACTCATCTTATCCTTTTCGAGGTTTCGAATATTCTCGAAGTAATTCGAATAAATTTTCCGGGTTTATTGTCAGGGAACTGATGAGAAACAGAAATCTCGCTTAGCTCAAATGATTCCAGAAATCATCTACAAGAAATCCCATCGCCGCAAGAACTGATTTTCATTGAAAACACTTGATTTATCATTTAGCATGGCGAGAAACCAGCACAGATGTCTTCTAGTTCTAACTCGACAGTCTCTACCAAAGAGGAGTCCACAACTTCAGCACCTACGCCATCAGTATCTACTCGACACTCAGTACTGGAGCCGATCATCAAACCGCCTAAGAATCCATTCGACGGTATCGTACTTATATCAAGGAATCATTGAAGCTCTTTGAATTGAACAGGCCATTTCATCACGTACGATTAATTGTAAGTGAAAAGTTTTCAATAAAGATGTAAAGTTATACAATATATACTAAATTGCTTGTTGCTTATGGTTCAGTGCAGTGACGGGATAATGATAGGTTAGGCTGGTTTATGACGGCAGCATCAAAAAGATGAAGGAAAAAGTTCTTGGCGTTGATCAATCCTAGAGGAATGCGCCATGCCTTCGACTTCATTAAGCATCGTTGGAGGTGATTGCATTCATATCTGGCCTTGACAATGACTCCCGCTTGCCTACCCATGTATCGAGTCAGTGCTGCTATCTTGCCAGACAAGTCTGATACCAATTTGCCTACCTCGATGGATGGAAAGCTTGGTGGGCCAGGAGCGCCGGAATCGATCCCATGTGTATTGCGGGGCGGCTCCGACCACTGCGCCACACGCAACCGGCTGCACTGAAGAAAATCTTCACTTAGCTAGTATTCGTTCTATTCGAAAAGTGCTACTGTTCTAGTGCTTCTTAAATAGGGTTGTGCTAACTACTTCAAAAAATCGTGTTTACTGGTAAGTTAAAAACAAAGTCCGGGGATCAGTTATGACATTGCAGAACTCCTGACCATGCCCGTTCACCTCTCCTGATTCTTGGTCTCTTTGAATCTTCATCGTGAAGGACGAGAAAGGCTTAGTGGCCTGTAAAGTCATTTAGTTCTTAATTCTCAAACCCTCGCAAAAAATAGATAATCCTCAACTCTTCCATTATACAGTTATCATTCGCAGATTTCTGTATTTTACTATTGTCAATGATCTTTTAGAAATATGGTTCAACATTCACCTTCTTTTAGCTGTAGGAAGCTCTAAGTACATGGACCCCGGGCCAGATCGAACCACGATTTCGTTTTTTGGAGGTTTACGCATTACACACTGCGCCACGGAGAGAAATAAGAAAGTAAGCATTGTGTTTTCGACTGCAGTCTCAGCTTAACTGGGTTCAGTGCCGATGTGGGCTCTCTAGATCAATCCCGGTGACGGAGTGGATTGCTGATGGCACTGGTAGATAGAAAACTAGCTGAGCGAAATGCAGAGCAAAGGCCTTCGTGGCGCAGTGTGTAATGCGCAAGCCCCGGAAAGGGAAATCGTGGCTCGATCTGGCTGTGGGTCCAAGCTTTACGAATATCTCAACATCATAGCGGTTGTATTTTACATCATACCCTGCTGTGAAAATTGTAGTAGGCAGTAAATAGAGAAGTAAACATAAGTTCTAAGTAATCGATAAGCACCAAATGCACGATAATGCATGAAAGTTCTGAATTTAGAATTTGTAACAAGACTGGTATGTTACTCTGTCGGACTAAATAGGTCCATCCTAGCATTCTCTGGAGTTTTCTCGAAACAAATAGTACATCCGAATAATAGAGAACTACCTTAAGGTTTTTATGGAAGACTATTTTATCATAAGGTTTTAACTTAGCCAGAAATCGTCCTCACTCTACATCTATGTCAGTTTAACCTTAAATTCTTGTGAATTATCCTAAGGATTTCAGCAGATTTTTATGACTGGTCTAAGATTTCTATTCCAAACAAGTTGTTAGTTAGTTCCTTACCTTAACTCTTACTCTTCGTATTGGTAAAATCAATAACTATCGAGACCCCGTGCAGACTTAGAAAATTCAAGCAAAAAAATCCACGAGCGGGCGGAACTCCGCGGATCTGTCGTGAGTCGGCTGCGCGGCACTTCGTCGCCGCGGAGCGGTGTCTGGGCAGACTAACCAGGTAGTAATCCTCACGTCTAGTCTGGATACGTTGTCTGATCCTAATCGATTTATAGTTCATGGTTTTTTTAATATTTTCCGTTTCTAATCTTCCACGAGAGTGTCGTATACATCATCTGTGCCCTTTCAGATCAATAACTATTCCAACTGTGATGAATTGAACGCCGTTCGGGAGATGTTCCTTCGCTTTATTCGAAAACCGCGTGGCGGTTGTCTTAAGCTGCTCTATTTGACCGTGTTTATTTGTTTATTCTTTTTTGTCTCTAGTCAACTGAGAAATTCACGATCTCTAGCGAAGGCGATTTCGGCTCCATTCGATGTGGGTTTATGTTCGTATGTTCTGCTGAAGATGTCGAGGTTTTCTCTTCATAGTTCTCTTCGTAACTGATAGAGATAACTCTTAAATCACTTAGGATCGAGCTATTCATCCGTTACCGGAAGAATCCAAGGAATACGGGAATCATGAGCATGGTGTTGGCGTTCAGGCAGAAGGCGCACCTCTGCCAATCATTCGGAACGAGGACGGCGATGGTGTTGATGCGGACAGGGTTGATGGACCGGAGTCTGTGTTTGTTTCCTTCACGAAAATTTTTTTTATTTTTTTTTGTTTTGCAGGGCTTATAAAGTAGATCAGGATCAGGAACAAATTCCTGCTGTGGGAGCTGTGGCTCCTAATGATGTGTTTGGAAAACAGCTTCAGAATGCTCATCTTGACTCGGACGATGTAATCTATCCTCATCTGAACACGAATGGGAAATTTATCCCACATCGTCGAATTGTACATTTAGATCTTAAAGGAGGCGCTTTTAAGGTTAGGTTATGGTTTCCGGAGCTCTTAGGTGTCCACGTGGACCAGTGTTTTTTTCTTTCAGCCTGAATTTTTTACGGAAATGTTCTTCTATTTTAATCGCATAAAAGCGACGGGTGTTCTGATTGAGTGGGAGGATATGTTCCCTTATACGGGAAGTCTATCAGAAGCTGTAAATGGCAACGCATACTCCTTAGAGGACGTAAGACTTTCCTTTGATCCTTCGGAATTTTGTAATTAAGTTTAGCTCCCTAGCGATGTTCAGGTAGAGAACATCTTAAAAGAAGCGAAACGACATCGTCTTGAAGTCATTCCTCTTGTTCAAACATTTGGTCATCTTGAGTGGATTTTGAAACTAGAGAAATTTGCTCATCTGAGAGAAGACTCGAGGTTTCCTCAGGTACGGTTAAAGTATTCTTTAACTCAAACTATCTCCATTTCTACACTAAAAGAAATCTGCGTTCCGTTTAGGTCATATGTTTTCCTGAACCAGAAGCATGGGGTTTGATAACGGATATGATTGACCAAGTTGCTGCTGTACATAGAAAATATGGAATGACTTTCTTTCACATGGGTGCTGACGAAGCTTTCCAGGTGTGATATACGACCTAGGTTATCAGTTAAATACTCTTTACGATACCGTGATCTGATCCACCCAAATGGGGGTTTTGAACTTCCCAGGTGACTGTGCTCTTCTCCCCCTCCCCCTTCAATGAGGTGGTAAGAGAATGTGTGCGGGTTATTATGTACGTCAGTAGCGCTTCGCTTTATGCTTGTCTTTTTTCTAGTGATAAAAAGACAAGCACCATCTAGCCAAGACTTGAGAACAGCCCATCTTTCCTAGAACGTTGAGGACACCGTTCTTGCCAAAGTTTTAAAGAACACGCCAGTTACTGTTACCGAGTCCGGATGAAAAGGCTTATATCCAGTTTGGCATAACTGCTGGTTTCTAACATTAGTTCACTGGAATTTCTTCGTTTCCGCAATTATCTTATGCAACCTATTTAGGTGGGAATTTGCAACGCCAGTATGGTTGAAATGGGACGACAAGGGTCACGCGACCGTTTGATGCTTTGGCATATATCCAGGACTGCCAGATACATTAAAGAAAAGTACTCTGTGAGTTTTCATTTGGATTACATTCCTCCTTAGTTGATGATCTTACTATATCTTTTTCTTGTTAATCTTTATTGTTCTTTATGTCGTTTTTATACTTTGCAGTTATGAAATATATTTGTTCGGTGTTTATAAGTGCTGATACACTGTCAGTTCATAATCTTCATATGTAGTATAACATTCCTTCATCGCTGTGTTAGGCAGAACACTTGCTTCGAAACACATTGTTAACCAACCAAATGTTTGTGATTACCAGTGACATTGTTCACTGTAGTTACTTTTAAACGCGACTAGTTCATGGTAGATTTATTTCAACTACGACATTGGGAACAGTGAAGGAGGAAGCCGTTGATGGACGTGGAGGAGCATGGTAAAAACGTTTTGGAACTCTGCTTGTAATGATTCCGATCGGGCTTGTATACAGAGACAGGAAGGAGACTTCTCTTATACAATGCTATTTCGCCACAACCGTTTGATTCATGAGCAATTAATCAGTATGTGGAGGCGACCTAGAAACAGTACAAAAATGACAATACACAACAGAACAATACAGAGTCTCCAAAAATTATTAATCACCTATGTTTCAGTTGGCGAGCCACAAATGTCCTGTTTTGTGCGACACAATTTCTGTACAATGACAGAGATATGATTTAAAAAAAACTTTTTAGGTTTAAACGGTGAATCTTATCTTTATGCTCTATTGACTTTCTGCTTTGCTTCTACAATTTATTCTACGTACGGTCCGATGTAGCACTCTTTTTCCTTTCGATAAAAATTTCATCATTTTTGTTTATATGATCCGACTTCACGTACTCTATGGGTCCCAGGCTTTTTTCACGTGGTTTGTTATATTGCATCCATAGTTCACAAAGGGTCTTGGATCTCGGCATGGATTTGTATACCACTTGAAGACTTCGTATTCATGGATGTCGTTGAAAATTGGTCGGGTTAGCTCCGTCTAGATTCCTGATATAGCTCTGTTGGAACGGTACCAGATCTTCACCGCCTACATTTGCGTGTATCGTAAGGAGCTTCTCTCGGTTTGCTGCTCTCGTAAGGATATAGAGCTTGGTTAGGCAGGAACGGAGTCGAACAAATGACCACCTTTGTATTATATAGCATTTCAAGCCACTGTGCGTTCTTCAGTGCCACGGTATACATCTTGGTAGGCAAACAAGTCAGTGCGATTAATACTCTGGTGGACTCCATTTGGTAATTTTTCTCTTAATGATATATTCAGTGTCTTTAAATTTCTAGTGCGCAAGAGTTGCAAAATCACGAAAATAATGCAATGAAAAACACTTGCCTGATACGTTGAATGTGTGTGGTTCCAGAAACAATGGACGGATTGAACTGTGATTTGTCATCGTTGTAGTCAGTATTAGTATTATATAGTGAACTTAAGACTAGAACCTCGGCGAATGAAATGTTTGACACTAAGGAATTGGGCTTTATTAGAACAAATATGTTGCAGACAACTGTGCTCGCATGGCACGACATGTTTGGGCATGCTATGGAATTTGATCTGGCTGCTTATCATATGACAGATGTTCTGGAACCCGTACTTTGGAGTTACGCTGAGGATTTGGATTTGTACTTACCGAAAACAACTTGGTTGAGTTTAAAGGTAAGTAGTTATGGGTTTATAATGTGACCATACCATATTGAAGGCTGCAGTAAAAATTTGCAGCACAAGTTTTTATTTTGGTTCGGGTGTATATTTAACTAAAATGATTCTCCAAATTGGAGAGTTTTGTAAAACTTGGTGAGCCGTGTCTTCGTTTTGTCGTGTTATCGTGACTAAAAGGCTCTTGCTGTATGATATGTGAGAGTTCAAAGCTTCCGTGTTATTGGCGGTTCATCAGAAGAAGAAAGCGAAGTTATGGTCATTTTTCCGGCCTCAGCTGTATACGGGTGATTTCTAATAGTACCTATAGGTCAGTAACACGGCTGAGAGAGAGGTGAAACAAAGGAGTCGCATGGTGTGATGGTAAACGCGTTAGTCCCGGGAAGTACAATAGCGCGTTCGTTCCCCACCGCATACACTTGCTGTCCGGAGTTTTGCAAATATCTCAGCATTATTATGGTTATAAATTTAATGTTATTCAACTTTATAACGATTTTCCGTATTTTTTTTTCTTTTTGTTAATCTACAGGGAGGGAGGAGATACCGTGCTTCACTGCCTCACGCTGCAGTCTTCATGAGTGTTGAACTGCGATGTAGTTCTGGGGTCTTTTCCCTCAAAAAAGTCTCTTAAGCTGAGAAGAATTTAATATTTCACCCAAGAAGCCTTCTAATAGTGAACTAGTGCCAGAAATTAAGCCCTGTCACGGTAGCAGAATGAGCATGTGATAATTCATGATTCGTAAAAACAAGCGGTTTAAGCATTGAGATTGGTTTGGTTCTCTAATTTGCACTCACTGTTTCAGCCCTTTCGCAAAGTTTGGGGCAGCTCTGCGTGGAAAGGTGCAGATGGGCCTGCTCGGTTCAATTCCAATCCTGTGCATTACATTCGAAACCATGAGGCATGGGTGGAGCAGCTTTCACGAAATTATCACGAGTTTGAAATGATGCAAGTATGTTGAGATTCTATGTATTATTGATAACATTTCTGCAAATGTTCTTGAAGGGACTTATTCTGGCTGGTTGGTCTCGTTATGACCACTTAGCCATTCTTTGTGAATTAGCTCCCATCGCTTTGCCAACACTTGCGATGTCCATGGAAACTATACTGGTTCGTACTTTCATCAGTTTTGTTTGCGATAACTCATTTTCCATTGGGATTTTGGAATAGAGACAATTGAGTATGATTTAGGAGGGAAGACCACTTCAAGGCAATTACCCACTTTCTAGAAACATACTACAGTGTACTCCTTCAACAGCGATGGGTATCACATATGGTTGCCAATTCCCTGGCTATAAAGTATGGTGTAGGTTCTAGAGACGGGACCGTGCATGGTTAAATTCCTTGTGACTTAAGCAGTTATTTAGGTATACGAGTTAGTCAACGAATTTTGGCAGCGGAAAAAACAACTACAGCAGTATCGTGAAGATGACTTTGAACTAAACGGGTGGCTGTCTAGAGTAGCTGATGTGTTCATGAGTAGCAGTCAGTGGTACATTGAAGTAAGTTCCTTTTCATCCGTGCAAGCCTTGTTCAGATGTGTTCCTCGTACCTGGGAGGGTTTCACGGCAATATATTTTATTCTTAATTAATTGCTGCTTTTTACAAGAAAATTGAGCCACTACTTGAGTATCATGCAAAACCGATTCTCCGTCTCGAGAAAGATTTACGGATTGAGCTTTCACGAATTTATTATCAGGTAATACAACGCTTTACATCTTTCATCTTCTTCATCATCATGACGTCTGTTCACTTCCCCAATCTTTAGGAAACCGTTGACGAGTTCATCTTTACTTATATGACAGATGATATTGAATGGGTACGACGGAAACTGAACGCAGCTCAAAAAATCCTGAAAGCAGAACATTTCCCGAAACGGCCATTCGTACGTTTAAAGTCAACTGATGAACTTTAAGTCTCGTTTGCGTTTCTCATTGTTTTTCGTCGAATTTCCTTAGTAATTGTTATACAGCTTTTACGGAATACTGTGTGTATGTAATACTTATCGATTCGCTTACGAAATGCAGTCAGGTCTGGTCAGTAAACTGATGTTTGCCTTTCATTAACGGATAATCTCATTATATGTAGTGCTTATTACTTTCCCTTCGGATGGGAGTTGCTTAATCTTAACGACTTATTACTTAACGTTCTAACTCATCCTAACTAACCGGTGCTGTATTTGTGCTGATGTATAGATATCGATTAGTAGTTCTCTCAGTTTTTCTGCTGTGATAATGCATTCGTGAAAGTTGCTTATTTTGCTAAGTCGTTTATTTTTGAAGTCTTTTAATGTTTTATTGTCACTATTTGTGCCAAAATAAAATAATATTTCGTCGTCGTGCAATTTGTATTTCGAATATGTTAGTGATTTGTATTGTGTGGAATGTGTTTGATATGTTATCCATTTACGTCAAATAAGACAATGAAAGGTTTCTTCTTCTGTTCGAGAAGATTTATTACTTTTCTATACTGTTCAAAGGGCGCGTGTGAGGCAGTGGTCGTAGGAACCATGCAATACACATGGGATCGATCCCGGTGCCCTTGGCTCACGAAGCCTTCCATCCATCCGGGGTCGGCAAATTGGTACCAGACTTGTCTGGGAGGATAGGAGCACTGGCTGGATACATCAGTAGGCCACCGCGAGGCATTGTCAAGGCCAAATATGCATTCAATCACGTCCAATGATGCTTAATAAGGTCGCATGTATGGCGTGTCCCTCAGGGATTGATCAGCGGCGAGACCTTTATCCCTTATCGTTTTTATACTATTCAGAGTTGAACAGTAACCAGTGTATCATCTTTTGGAAATCGAACATCATTCAATATAAAGAGTTTGCTTGCCTACTTGGTTACAAATGTGATCGGCCTCCACCAGATGGTAGTTGCGAGGCATTTAACACAAATCTCCATCCGGTTGGAGCATATTGCTGGCTAAGTGAGTTTTGTTCTGAAAACTTAAAGGTATTCTAATGTCGCTACCTACAGGCTATCGTGCAAGCAGCGATGTAAACACCATGGACATTCTCAGCGGTTTGAGCTGTTATGACTGTTATGGTGACTAGAGTCTAGTTGGCTATTTCCACCAGTGCAGTTCCTGACGATGGTGAGGTCGCAGGTTTTTTGTTTTCCAATTGTATTGGTTCCATAAAATTTGCGATCAGGATTCATATTGGTGGAGCATAGTGAGGTTTCAAAGTATTACTCCATGTTCAGAAACTCGTATTTGGAATCTGCTCTAGTGTTCTTGTTCATCTGTCGTGCGAATCCCAGCAGTTTTCGCATTCGGTTCGTTTCTTCGCATCCATCACATTGACGGTGTTCCAGCTTTTTAAGTGTGAATTCGGCTACTGCTTTAAAGTTTTCCCTTTCGTCATGAAAGCCGTTGAATGCTGATTGAGTCGATTCACCCTCCAGTCCTGAGATAGCTGAGATAGAGCCTTCGTTCCCACTCGGACCGCAGATAGTGAACTTTGCCCAGAAAAATTCGGTACCAATTTCCCGACTTAAATAGAATGGGAGACTTAGTGAACCCGGAGCGGGATCGAACTAACACTGTGCCCATGATGATCGGCATCACCACTACTGTGCTGCCCTCCTACATCTTTATATTTTATGTGCCACTTTTATGGTATTTCATTAGACATTGCTCAAATGCTCTGCAACCTGCCCTCGTATTGATCGTCCAATAACTCGAGCGGGCACCAGGAAGTTATCCATTTGTCTCTGTCGCGTCCAGGAGTATCGTAATCGGTTCTGTTCATTTTAGGGATTCGCTTGTCATCATATCTTTGTACTAGGACTTTTATTAACAAGACTGATCATTGTGTAGATAGTGTTTCTGATATGCTGTTTACACATAGTCGTTAACGATTCTTGTTCATCAGTTAATATGTGCTATTTAACTTTTGATATTCTGGCGTGTATAGTGTCCTTTTCGATTTCCGATGGTTGATCCAAATCGAGCCGCTTCCCATACTTGAGTGATCTGGGATTGTTCCAACATCACTCATTCGATAGCGCGGAATAATCTTTCACCCTGTTACTGCAGCGTCCAGACTTACGACGTGTACGTTAAGAAAGTGAGAATTGCTGAGGCAAAAAGGCGGCACCGAGTCGGAGGTTTTTTGTCGTTGTAATCATATACTCGAAACTTTTGAAGGCTTCTTAAGCCAATCGTTTCCTCCAGTTATGCTCTGGAGTTAAGTCGTTTACCATGTTGACTTCTCGACTCCGATGTACAGAACTATAGCATCCGGTGAAATTCGCTTCGCTGATGATGATTGAGGCATCAGAATCAAATTGTTTCGCATGAATATTATTTTCGTAAGATTTGTCACGAGTGTTCTCAGCACACGAAATGCTTTTAAGTAGTGAGTAGGGTCGCACAAGCTGTCCAGAGCTTCCGTGACCACTAATGTTTCAGTTGTGTCAAAGGTTTTTTAAGTCGACAAAAATGAGATCAAGCGGCCTTTTATCATAGTGATACGGTCTTATCGTATGGAATATTTTTCAAAACATGCTTGCTCATGTGGCTGCGCTTCTTCTAGTGTTCTATCATTAGTTCCATTGAAAGTGACTCGAGCGAAGAGTCTGTGGACGGCAGATTGAGCGATCGTTGTCAACATCACGTTGGTTTCGTTTCGTACATTGTGACAGGTATGAACAACCGAACCAGTGTGTTAATGAGAACTGACAGATTCTTTAAATGTTCTGGTCTTTACAGTTCTTTACTGGCAAGAGAGAATACCAGACCTCGGAAGGGAAAACCGATGGTATATAGATTAAAATAACCATCATTTTTGTCATGTGGAAGAAGGTCAAGGCACCTGCTAAGGTTAGGGTAGAAGTCAGTTATTTTCTCTTATGCCTTTCTGAGAAGTGCACCTGTTCCGTCTGGTTGTTCGGGTTCATCGTGGTCTTATAACCGGCAATGTTTAGGTGGACGCATGCGAATACTTTTATCCAGCTCTGCAGGTTCGGCTATTTGCGCTGCTTTTCTCTCCAGACGATCTTCCTCTACCGCCCTTCTACAAAGATTTGCAAGTCCGGAAGTGAGTTAACGACTCCATTATTGGTTCAAATGATCTCATAGACAGACGTCTCTTGCTGAATTTCGAACTCTTGGCTTTCGACATATATCCTTTCTTTGATAAGCTTACTAACATTTTGACGTCATTGCCTTCATCAGAGCGGATGATCCGAGTTGTTGGTCCAAAGCTGTTCGCCTTCTCGATGTGGCGTCTTCATCTTCATATCGATTCTGATCTTCCTCAGTGAAACATCCCTCGAATGAGGAATACTCACCCGACGAAACTCTTCTATAGAGGATGCTGGTGTTGACAGTAGTGCTCCGGCGATAACGACTTGTTTTTTTTCCGAACAATCCATCTTGCAGAAGTCGATATCATTATCAGTTAGCTATGGTGGAAAACGAAGACGTCGAAACGTTAGCCTAATAAAGTTGTTCATCAACCTCGTTTAAGCTTATCAAAGAAAGAGTGCGTATTGAATAGTCATACCGAGGTTAAAGGAAAGTCAGCGTTGAAATCTTGGTTTACTTATCATTGACATGATGTTATGTAAGCCAGTTGTATCCTCCACTGTTGTCGATACCGGCCTCTTCCGATAAACCGATTCGTGATTCGAACAAATCCTAAACTTTGATGGTTTGAAACTTTACTTCTTGGAGTTTGTGACTTTCGCTTCTTTGATCAAGAAAAAAAAAGGTCTTGAGCGAATCAAGTAGTGATCCGATTTCGCTGAAGGTTTTGCTACAGAAGTTAGGCAAATCTTCGATGTACTTTGATGTGATCTGTTTCCCTATGTTATGTTACATTGCCACACTCACGTCTGTCGTTTAGAGGAGGGTTTGGAATTGTCAAAGTCAGTTGTCGGTCAAGCCATAAAGTCGGGTAACAGCTCAACCCATTTGTACCATTCTAATTCTTGGGTCCCGATGTGAGTTCTTTAGGTGTTCTTCAGGATCAACTGTTAGCGTTGATGCTGTCAGTGGTGACTTTACTTACTTACTTGGACGGTCCGTCTTCACGAGCTGTGCGGACACCAGTGCATATGCCATTCGTTCCTTTCTCTCGCAATCGTAGTCCATGGTGGTGGTCTTGTTCGAGCATGGCAGCGCTTGCGAGTCTCATACCGTGATCTGTAAAACAACTGCAGCTGCGGGTACAGCTGATTAACTTTGTTTACGAACACGTCCGCCCAACGTGTAGGTGGTCGTCCTAGGAGACGTTTGCATTCTCTTGGAGTCCACTCTACTGTTCTTTTCGTCCATGTGTCCAAGTTGCACAGCCAGCAATAGGCCAGTGGCGACTTTACAGAAAGTATCTTCACCTTATGAGTAGACTTTAATTGTTGAGCACTTCGTTCGCGTGCAGTATTTTCCTGATGACTTCGTATTTGATTACAGTCAGTCATGAGTTATGAGTCTACTATACAATTATCTCTGGTTTTATGATTCTACATCCTTACTTATGTTGCACTTGTCTATTGATAATGAGACTGTACATATTGTGTACACAATTGTTGGTCTCGTTATTTGTATCACCATAATGTTAGTATCGCTTATAAAGGGTTAAATACCCAGGTTTGGCGTTGCGATGTATTGTACTTACATAAATTTCCATATGGCAGGCCAGAAGGAGGGCAACAACTACAGGAACTAACTAACCCACTTTGATATTCTTTTTCCCGCCAGCGCTCCAACATAAAACTATTATTAAGATTAGATTCACGCATTTTAAATGGATTAGATGAGATGCCAGAGAAAAGATTATGCCATCTACAAGGTTATCGTTCATTACTGACGATTTCAACTCGACTCCCTCCAGCACAATATTTGACAAATTTCATATTGTGACCGACGGATTGGAATGGAACGGATAGGGTGAGCTGCTAC